TCCCCAGAATAAGGTACTCCGCCTTATTCTTATACTATAGATCGTTTTGACTATATACTTGAACTTGATCCACTCTTATGTCTCTACATATAGTTCAAGTAATCATACTATAGCCAGAGTGTTTTTAGTTTATTGGATTTAGATTAATGATCGTAAAGTTTACTTTATTCAATAACAATTTTTACTGAATAAACAACAATAATAACTTTATTGAAAATAGAATATATCTTTGTTTACAAACTATGAGTTTTAGGACATAAAACCCAACATAAAGAACATTAATGGTCTTTGATTTTGCATTAATACAGCACCTATCCCTACTCCGCTAGCATCACATTCAATTTCAAAAGTAGACTCAAAATTAGGTAATGCAAGCAAAGGAGCAGAACTCAATTTTTCTTTCAAAGTATTAAAAGCATGTTCTTGATCTTTTTCCCATATAAAGGATACATTTTTCTTAACAAGTTCATTCAAGGGTGAAACAATTGTACTAAAATTCTTAATGAACCTACGGTAGAAACTTGCAAAACCATTAAAACTTCTTATCTCACTTACATTTTTAGGTGTAGGCCAATCTTTTATAGCCTTCACTTTCTCCTCATCAACCTCAACACCATTAGATGAAACTACAAACCTAAGAAAGTTAACTTTTTCCATGCAAAAGCTACATTTCTTTAAATTTACATACAAACATTCGTTTCTTAAAGTAGTCAAAACATTGCGTACATGGGTAATATGATCATCTAAAGATTTAGAGTAAACAAGGATGTCATCAAAATAAACAACCACAAACTTACTTAAGTATTCTCGTAAGACATGGTTCATTAGTCTCATGAATGTACTAGGTGCATTAGTTAATCCAAAAGAAATAACCAACCATTCATAAAGACCATACTTGATTTTAAAAGCTGTTTTCCACTCATCCCCAATATGCATGCGAATTTGATGATAACCCGATTTTAAATCAATCTTAGTAAAAAGACTACATCCATGCAATTCATCAAGCATATCATCTAATCTCGGAATTGGATGCCTATACTTTATAGTTATAGCCCTGCAATCAACACACATACGCCAAGAACCATCTTTCTTAGGTACAAGAATAACTGGAACAGAACAAGGACTCAAACTTTCACGTACATACCCTTTAGCAAGGAGTTCACTTACTTGGCTTTGTATCTCTTCAACCTCCTTTGGATTAGTCCTATAAGCTGGTCGGTTTGGAATGGGCACGCTAGGAATGAAGTCAATCTTGTGTTCAATCCCTCTAAATGGTGGCAAACTACTAGGCATCTCCTTGGAAAATAAATCTTCAAACTCTTGCAAAAGTACAACAAAATCACTAGGCAAAAAAGGGTTAAGCATGTTAGTAAAGTAACAAGACCCCTTGCACATAAGTACAAGAATAGTCTGGTTAGAGGGCAAAACATTCCTAGCCTCACTTGATCTAACATGCAAGCTTACTGATTTGGTTTTTCTCTCTGTTTTTTCTCTAGGCTGAGTGTTACTCTCTTGCTTTTCACTCAAGCTCTTTTTTTCACTTGATTCTTTTTCAATCTCTGCTTTTGCATCAGACTCTTGCCTTTTCTTTTCAAGTTTGCAATGATCAATAAATACATCTTTTTGAGACAATGGAACAAGAGTAGTTTTTCTACCATTGTGAGTAAAAGAGTATCGATTTGCATACCCATCATACATTACCCGATGATCAAATTGCCATGGCCTCCCCAATACTAAATCTCCAACATGCATGGATACAACATCACATAAAACATCATCAACATATTTTCCAATAGTAAAAGAAATAAGGGTTTGTTGAGTTACCCGTACTTCCCCACAATCATTCAATCATTGAAGCTTGTAGGGTCTTGGATGTGGTTGTGTCTTTAAATTAAGTCTTTTGACCAGAATGGAACTCACAACATTGGTGCAACTACCGCTATCAATGACAACACTACAAGGTACAGATTGAACAAGACACCGAGTTTGAAACAAGTTCTCTCTTTGGTCTAGGCCGTCCTCCTTAATGTGGGTGTTTAGAGCTCGTCGAGTAACCAAAGATATATGTGTAGGGTTCTCTTCACTAAACTCCTCACTCTCATCAGTTTCCTCATTTATGTCGTCATGTGCCTCGTCAGCTGTAACAATTTCTCCCTCCTTGATGGTCATAATTCTTGCATTTGGGCAATCTCTACTATAGTGTCCTACCCCTTGACATCTCCAACACTTTAAATCCCTATTTCGAACATTAGACTTTTCTACTTTTTCTTTCCCTAGTCTAGAACTCTCCCCTTTCTCAAATTTAGCTTGAGGCTTCTCATTAATCTCTGGATTTCTATGCTTATAATCAATGTCCTTACTATCCTTTTTCCATGTAGAAGTAGAATTGGGAAAAGTTTTAGAAGAATACCGTTGAGACCTTCTTTGGATTTGCCTCTCGATCTTAAATGCAATGTGCAACAACTCCTCAATATTAGAATAAGGCTGTAAATCAGTCTTGTCTGCAATCTCTGTGTTTAACCCATTAAGAAACCGCACCATGAGAGCCTCCATGTCCTCATCGAGATCAAGTCGATCCATCAATGTATCCATCTCCTTGTAATAATCTTCCACAGATTTGCGTCCTTGTTTCAATGCTTGAAGCTTTTGTGTCATGTCCCGTTGAAAATATTGTGGAACAAAAGGCTTCCTCATGGACTCTTTGAACTCGTACCATGAATCAATTGGTGCTTCAAGGTTTCTTCTCCTCCTTGACATCAATTTATCCCACCAAATTTGAGCATATTGTTTGAATTGAGCAATGCATAACAATACCTTCTTTTCATCACTAAAATTATGACAGTTGAACACCGACTCCACCATTTTCTCCCATTCAAGGTACTCCTCTGGATCGGTTTTTCCATAAAACTTGAGAAGTTTTAATTTGATGCTCCCCACGTTACGATCAATTCTATCATCATATAGAACTCGTTTTTGTAAATTATGATACCTTCTTCCATCGTCTCTCCTTCGCATCAAGCCATGACCAACCGCATGTGGATTATCTTCATGGTGATCAGAATTATCGCTCTCATATGTATCGGTTGAGGGCGTAGGTAGTGGAATCCTCTGTCGAGCTTGATTTTGAATCTCCAATCTTCCTATTTGATCAGTCAACTCTTCTATTCCTCGAATTAGTCTTTCCATGGTTCGTTGTTGTGCTTCTCTCAATCGTGCATCAATAATGTTAGTATTGTCATATGGATTTTTCATGCTGCAAAAGAAAGGTAAAAGAAAAAAAAGGACCTCACAAGCGCTCCCTCACGTGTATTCGCTCGTAGATGTAGTTCACTCGTGTTTAGCACTCAACACTCAAATCAATGTGTCACTCCCTTACAAACTCACCCTCACAATTGAGCACACACAAATCACACTCCAAAAAACAAATTGGGATGTGAGACAAGCTATGTTATAGAGCTAAGTGCAATTCAAAGTGAATAGACAGCACACTCAACACATAAACAAGGGTATTGAAGGAGCAATCCGAATAACGACAAAGAAATGAATTAAAGAAAGAAAATGATTAAGGACTAATTTAGACGTAGTAACATATGAGAGTTACATATAATAATCAAGAGGAAAAAAGAAAGACATTTAACTCAATATGCTTTCTTTCTTTCAATGGTTTTTTTTCTTCTTCTGATTGGCAAAATCTAATCAATTTACCAACAAGAAAATTGATTTAGAAGATCTTAAACAAGAATAAAGTGTTGATAAGATCCCGATCTAACACTTTAAAGAACATAAGAGATGTATATTTTTTTTTTTTTTGTTATATATTTTTGTGATAGAATATGAACATTCTACACAAACTGAGAAGAAAAAATTATAAGAGAATTAAAAGAGACAAGCGCAATGAAACATATATTCGATCTTGAGCCTAAAGCTCTGATACCAAAATGATATGGAAATCAACCCAAGGGAAAGTATGGAACGGATTACCTTGATGATCAAGATCAAGAGTAAAGAAAACTCGTTTTTAAACTCGTGATTTGAATCACTCCACAAGAGGTTTGATTAATACCACTTGAATGACTCTACATGCAAGTTCTAAACACAAGAATTTGCAAAGAAAGTTTAGCTCTCAACAAAGCTAAAATAGAAATTCTATTGTTAATTCCAAAATCTGATGTCTAATCAATGAAAAGAAGCTTTTAGCCTTTACAACGTTAACCTATGTGATACATAACTCCCAAATTAAATGGGCTAGTAAATGAAAAATACCATAACCTCATGGCTAGTTAATGGTGGAATATAGTAACCTAGGTGGGTTACAATATAACCTTAACTCCTATATTTAAAACTAGCTTAAAGATGACAAACAAATAGTTAAACTTTAATTAAATAATGCAATTAATAAAATGTGTTTATTGACTCATCCTTCGACTAGTTTCATAAATTCAATGGAGTTCATTAAAGTGCATTTAATTCATCTCTTTCTTGAAGATCAACATTGCACAACATATAAGGGAGGTCTCCAGCGTCTTCTAGAATTTCTTTTGATGAGCTCACCATAACTGGAATATAATTGTATAAGATTTGGTGTAGCTTCTTGGCTCTCGTCCTTGTAATTGGACCTTGAAATATGGAAATTCCTTGATCGTGGTTCATATCAGAAGGAGTTCTTAATGATAGAAATGGAGAAGTTTTTGGAGGGTATTCTTGAAAACGATCAAGGAATTTGTAGAGAGAGTTTGTGATGATGATAATAATGGAGGAGAATCTAGAGAGGGTGTTCTCGGAGAAAACTAAGATAAATTTTAAGACATAATTTGAGAGAATTATCAACAAAATTTAGTCATTTAAAAACATATATACTATAATAAAATAAGTTTTAAATTAATATCTTTTACTTAAATATTTATTATTTGTTTTTTAATTTTTAATTTTATTTCTAATAAATGAAAGGGGAAATTTTGTGTACCCACTTTTGTCAAACCCTACCACAAGCAATTATTCGATTTGAGGTATAGAATACATACATTTCCTTAGCCGTTAAGTTTCTTAGCATCGAAGTCACTCCATCATTTCAACCAACGATCCACACTAAAAAATTCACTCAATTTCTTCCTCCAATTATCAACTTCTCTCCTACAAAGTCCTGTGTTCCAATCCCAGAAACGACCATGAAAGTGAATCACATAGCTGCGGTGTTGCTGCTGCTTCTTCTTCCTCTGTTTGATTCGGGGTATTGCGTTGAAGACCCATTTATCAAGATGAAACTGGGCGGTGTTCGCGATTACATCGGCGCTCAGAACAGCCTTGAAATTGACGCTCTCGCTCGTTTCGCAGTCCAAGAACACAACAAGAAAGAGGTTTTTTTCTTTGGTTTTTCAGCTCTTTATTCATTAATTTCTGGATTCGTTTCACTGCCTAATTTTCTTTCTTATTTTTGCTCAGAATCTAGTCACTTGCTTATTTAATTCGTTAATTAGTGGCTATTTGGTACCCATGTTTTGGTTGTTCATGCGTCGTTTTGATTTGTTAATCACCACTAGATGCGGTAGTTTAAATCGAATTCTTGACTGGCTTTTATGTCTCTTTGGTGCAGAATGGTCTTCTGGAATTTGAGCGGGTGTTGAAAGCTAAAGAACAGGTAGTTGCCGGTAAGTTGTATCATCTTACATTGGAAGCCATTGATGGTGGTATAAAAAAGGTTTATGAAGCCAAAGTGTGGGTGAAGCCATGGATGAACTTCAAACAGTTGCAGGAATTCAAACCATGCCCATGATGGATCTTCAGGTGCCGTTCTGCTCCTCGTGTTCAAACTGGTATGGTAGGAATCATTCTGTTCTATGTTAATTGTATATTTTGTATATCTGCATGACAATACTAGACTATTAGTCCATTTATGGTAGGAACCTAAGATAGCCTGTCTATGTCTGACACATTAGACACCTTTTTTGGACTTTTTGTAACGGCCCAAGCCTACCGCTAGCAGATATTGTCCTCTTTGGGCTTTCCCTTTCGAGTTTCTCCTCAAGGTTTTTAAAACGCGTTTGCTAGGGAAAGGTCTCCACACCCTTATAAAGGGTGTTTCGTTTTTCTGCCCAACTGATATGGGATCTCACACTTGTGATGGACACTTGTTAATACAATAAATACATGTTATACAAAATCAATATAGGTCAAACATTTGTTAGACACGTACTGATCACTTGCTAAGTATATCAGTATAATAAAATGATTATAGAAAAATACATCACACATTGATTTAGTTATAAATGCATAAACTTGTTCGTTCTGAATTTTCTTATGCCATTGAAATGATATATATTTTAATAAATGTGTTCTTGTTGTGTACGTGTCCTAAATTTTTTAAAACATGTTGTGTCACTATGGCTGTGTCGTGTTTTGTACTTTGTATTTGTATTCGTGCTTCTTAGCTTATAATTTGGTATGTGTACATGTGTAAATGTCAATAATTTGAGTTTTGGCTTTTGAAAACTTTTCTGAAAAGTTGAAGAAAGATAAAGGGTGTGAGACTAGTTAATCCTCTTTTTCTTATTCTTGTTTGTTATAATTGCTGCTGTGCTTGGTAGGATGATTGCAATGAGAGATTGATTCACTCTTGCTGAGCACCACTGCTCACAACAGAGAAAATGGCTCTCACACACTGTTATCAAAATAACTAACTATGTTAACGATACCAAAATGGTACGGAGCAATTAATGGTGAGTCCAAGTCAGTCCCAAACTAAATTGAATAAGAAATCTTTGTATCCTTAGTGTTGAATGTATTTGAAGCCAAATCAAGTGTTAGTATTGGTAGATTTAAGTGATTTGGTTGTAACTGCCCAAGCTCACCGCTAGCAGATATTGTCCACTTTGGGCTTTTCTTTCAGGGATTTCCCTCAAGGTTTTTAAAACGTGTCTGTTAGGGAAAGGTTTTCACACCCTTATAAAGAATGCTTAGTTCTCCTCCCCAACCGTTGTAGGATCTCACAATCCACCCCTCTTCGGGGTCCAGCGTCCTCGCTAGCACTCGTTCTCTTCTCCAATCAATGTGAGACCTCCAATCTACCCTCTTCGGGGCCCAGTGTCCTTGTTGGCACACCGCCTCATGTTCGCCCCCCTTTGGGGCTCAGTCTCCTTGCTGGCACTTTGTCCGGTGTTTGGCTCTGATACCATTGTAACGGTCCAAGTCCACCGCTAGCAGATATTGTCCTCTTTGGGCTTTCCCTTTCGGACTTCCCCTCAAGGTTTTTAAAACGCGTCTGCAAGGGAGAGATCTACACCCTTATAAAGAATGCTTCGTTCTTCTCTCCAACCGATGTGGATCTCACATTAGTGTTTGAGTTTAATTAAGTCAAAGGGAAACAAGAATTTGGTGGGTTGTGTGGTCTCTCCATTTTTGTTATGTTATTTTGGTCTTCCATGGTCATCAGGAAGCATGAGAGATTTTAAAAAAGTTCTCTTTGGATCATCTTAATGAATTTGATTAGTAAAAACACTCTTCCATTTGGCCAGTAGTTGTCTGCTAGTTTTCCCTGGAATCTAAGACTCTTTGGTATAAGATTATTGTTAGTTTGCATATCTTCTGGTTTTGAGGTCACATCGATTTTTCTTTTGAGAATGGAGCTCGTGTTAACTTCTGGGGAGGATCGATTGATTCTGGTCGTTAACACCGTATATACCATCTAGAAGTTTATTATGTTCTTCTTCGTCTGGTTGTGTATTATCTATAAGGAGCAGATTAAATACTATAGGATTGTGTTTTGTGGATTTTTTTTTCTCAACATGGATTGGATAAAGCTATAGCTCATCTTAAAGAGTTTCTTGAGCTAGTAGTTGCAAGGATACCTCCTCATGGGAACTGCCACTTTGACAAACGACATGGAATATTTTAGAGGGGCAAAAATAGACATAGTATGACGTAGAATCTTATGCTGGGTCGTCTCAGATTTATATATATATATATATATATATATGCAAGCATTCGATTTATCAGTATATCATGTTAACTTGATCCCACATCGAAACACTCTTTATAAGGGCCTCTCCCTAGCAGATGCGTTATAAAATCGTGAAACTGACGGTAATACGTAACGAGCTAAAGAGGACAATATCTGCTAGCAGTGGGCTTGGGCCATTACAAATGGCAGTAGAGCTAGACACTGGGGATGTGCCAGAAAAGATGTTGGGCCCCGAAGGGGGGGTGAATTTCGTGGGGGTCTCGCATCGATTGGAGAAAGGAACGAGTGCCAACGAGGACGTTGGGCCTCGGAGGGGGGTGGATTGTGATATCCCACCTCGGTTTGGGAGGACAACGAAACACCCTTTATAAGGGTGTGGAAACCTCTCTCTAGCTTTGAGGGGAAGCCTGGAAGAGAAAGTTCACATAGGACAATATCGGCTAGTGTGGGCTTGGACTGTTACACTTTCATTCTTAAATTAGTTTTTGTGTTACTGTATAGCTAGAAATTTATCTTACAATAAATTGATATATTCATCTAGATCTTCAAATAAGGACGATATGCATCAAAATAAGAACTATAGTCGTAATAATGTAACCAAAATTTATGTGTTATGTTTCGTGCATTGTTAAAATGGAGTCGAGAGTCGTATTGTGTCGTAAGATCGATTTCCGCGAATGTTGATTGTTGTTCTTGGATGGCAGGTAAGTGAAGAGTATACATAAACATACCCTATAGCCCATGTGGGTTGCTGCTGAAGGTAAACAACAGAATAGATCTGAAACATTATTATATGATATGTTTATAATAATTGTGTAATATAATTATATATGGAACTGGTAATCTAAGTTTGTAGAAACAATAAATAAGAGATGCATATACTTTCATGTAGAGATCCCTTCAAAGTGATGCTCACAAGCGTGTTATGTTAGTACTAAATTCTTGTCTTTTCAATTTCGTGTCTAAGGAGTCAATAACTTTTTTATTATGGGTAATATATTCATAAAGTTATTGAAATGGGTCTGGAAATTTAATGGGAGTAAAATAGATTTTAGAGTGATAAAATAAGATAATTAATTTTTTTTTTAATTAAGTCTTAAAATTTTAATTCTCCAATAAAATTTTAATTGACTTTTATCTCCTAATTTTTTCATCCAAGACTTACTGGCCATTATCATTTGGGATTTCATTGGGCTGGAAAAGGAGATAAAAATCCTCCAATGTCTCACTTCGATTATGCAACGAACTCCAACAAGCGATGACGAGCAACAATGGTTCTCTACCCTCGATGACTCGAGTTCCCCTACCCAACTAGTGATTGTGGCAATCCATCTTAAATGACGACGACACTATGATACATTTCTTGTTAGTTCAACATTGTCGCCTAGGATGCATACTCTAAACCGTCTCTTGAATTTGAATGCCCATAGCTCGTAGAGGTCAGATCAATAAGTTCAACAGAATTGGAGTATGATAAACGCAAGTTTTTTCAAGGAGTTCCAGTGAATAAGGATTCATTTTATTTACTTATGAACTCGTTAGACTGTCCTTTATTTATTCTTTCTATTCTTTTGTTGAGGTTGAGGCTAGGAATAAAGAGAGAAAATTGAAAGATTTAGAAGAATTGGGAGAAATCTTACCTATTTGAAATCTAACCTTTTATTGAATAATGAATTCTTAACGAGAGAAAACTGGAAATAAAGAGAGAAAATTGGAAAGATCTCACATTCTATGGAAGAATGAATTCTTAAAGAGAGAAAATTGGAAAGATCTCACATTCTATGGAAGAATGAATTCTTAAAGAGAGAAAATTGGAAAGATCTCACGTTCTATTCAAGAATGAATTCCTCACATTAAAACGGGAAAGATTAGAAAAATTGGGAGAAATATCACATTCTATTGAAGAACGAAATTGTGGAAGAAATCTCTAGTTGAAGAATGAAATTGTGGGAGAGAAATCTTAGAAATCTCACATTGAAGAATGAAATTGTGGGGGAGAAATATGTGACTCCTGGCATGCACATGAAGCTGCAACTATGAATTCTGCCTCTGTGGAAGATAGACTTACTATTGGTTGTTTCTTTGATGACCATGATACTGCTCCAGAACTCAATAAGAACACATAGCTTGAAGTACTTTTTCTCTCATCCAAATCTCCAGCGTAATCACTGTCTGTGTATGCAACAAAATCATCATCTCCTCCTTTCCGATAGAAAATTCCAAACCCAGTTGTTCCCTTCAAATAACGCAGTACCCTTTTTCCTGCCTGTAAATGAAGCTGAGTGGGATTCTCCATATATCTACTAATCAGACTCACTACAAACATTATGTCTGGTTGAGTTGCTTTGAGATAATTAAGACTGCCTACAACTTGCTTATAGTAGGTTTTGTCTATGTTTATTCCATCTTCATCTTTCATAGGTTTGCATCCAGGGACAATAGGATTATGAACAGAATTACTTTTGTCCATTCCAAACCGTTTCAACACCTCCAAAGCATACTTCTTCTGACTTATAAAAATACCACTAGATTTTTGTAAGACTTCAAGGCCAAGAAAATACCTCATTTTACCAAGATCTGTCATGTCAAACTCATTTTTCATGGAGTTTTTAAACTCGGTAAACATCAATTTATCATTTCCAGTAAACATGATATCATCGACATAGAGACTTACAATTAATACTTTGGCTTCTTTTCCTCTCTTAATGAACAAAGTATGCTCATAGTCACACTTCTCAAAACCTTTCTTCATAAAATAGGCTTCTATACGGCTGTATCAAGCACATGGAGCTTGCTTAAGCCCATAAAGTGCCTTCTTTAACTTGTAAACCTTCTGCTCATGTCCCTTTTGCACATATCCACAAGGTTGCTCCCAAAGACCTCTTCATTCAAATCACCATGTAGAAATGCAGATTTCACATCCAGCTGATAGATGGACCAACCTCTTTGAGCTGCAAGTGCTACCACCAAACGACTTGTCTCCATGCGCGCAACAGGTGCAAATACTTCAGTATAGTCTACCCCATGTTGTTGAGTATACCCCTTTGCTACAAGCCTAGCCTTGTATTTGTCGACTTCTCCATTTTCATTGAATATCATCTTATAAATCCATTTTACTCCAACCTTCTTTCTGCCATCAGGTAACTTCATCAATTCCCATGTGCCATTTCTGTTTATTGCTTCCGTTTCCAGATCCATGGCTTGCCTCCATTTCTCACTCTTCAATGTGTCTTCAAAGTTTACAGGATCAGTAGTGGTAGACATGGCCAAGTGAGCTTCATTATCTTCTTCAGAAAGATCTTCTCCTGTTGCATAGTCTCTCATCCTGGTAGTCTCCTATTCCTCCCCTTATTCGAGCTAGGAGAGTTTGCTTCAGCTGGAGAAGGAGAGCTTGCTTCAGCCAAAGAGCCAGAGGAAATATTTTCCTCTGCAGCTTCTGTATCAGATTCGCTCCCTTCTTCATTTTCATCAAACATATCTGCTGCCTCCTCTTGATCACCCCATTCCAGATCGCACATAATGGATTTTTCATAGGTCTTATCCCAGTCCCAACTCTTATCTTCCTTGAATACAACATCCCTACTGTTGGGTTTTATGTCATAAAACTCATAGTTTGTAAACAAAAACATATTCTATTTTCAATAAAGTTATTATTGTTGTTTATTCAGTAAAGATTGTTATTGAATAAAGTGAACTTTACGATCATTAATCTAAATCCAATAAACTAAGAACACTCTGGCTATAGTATGATTACTTGAACTATATGTAGAGACATAAGAGTGGATCAAGTTCAAGTATATAGTCAAAATGATCTATAGTATAAGGATAAGGTTGAGTACCTTATTCTGGGGACACTATGGATGTGGCCCACTTTTGTATATGATATAAACAATGTGATCACTAAATTGTACATGTGGAGACATGTGAGTGGGGGCGTCCTTTGCAATGAGTATTGCATAAGATCGGACCATGAAGAAAATCACTCTCACTTTATAATGTCGTTTACTATTGAGACTGATTTTCTTTTCGTTTGATGACCTAAGTAACTCGATCTTAATCCTGAGCTAACCATGAACTCTTTTTCATTCGGAATTATCCTTAGATTTGCATGGGTGAGAGTGGCTCGAGTTTGCCGACTCAATAGGCCTCCCATTTCAGGGGTAAGACTGGGTGAATAGCTGGGGACGTGGGGTGCAAGATGGAATTCGCTCCTACCCATTTTTAGGGATAGAAGAGTGGTAGTTCCCTTAAGTACTGACTCCAGGTCTTGAACAAGGGGCCCCACCCACTCATTGGCCTGAGAGGGATTCAGTTTACTGGTTGGACCACAACCTGATTGTTCATAAGAGGATCAATGGGACATAAGGAACAAGAAGTAACTTCAGGGGTAAAACGGCTAATTGACCCAGCTCTAGTTACGAACAACCTGTGAAGGATCGACTTACTAATCATGGTTATATCAAATGGACAGAAATATATCTATAATGAGGGGAGTGCAACTACTAGGCTATAGTGGAGTGTCCTAGTAGTTAACGAGTGTTGTTGATTAACAAGGTTAATGAGTTTAACCGATTAATCTTGGATCATTGAAGCCCATGATCTATAGGTCCATTAGGTCCCTCTGCTAGCTCATCGGACTAAACAATAAAACAATGTGACGAGTGAGTTCGAAGTGTTCGAATTCAAATTAGGGAATATGCGCTACATATATATAATATATTTAACCGCATTTTTGTTTTATTTACGAATTAAACAAAAAGAGAGAATTTGAGATATTTAAATAAGATTTAAATATTTTAATCAAATATGTGTCGGAATTGATTAGGATTGGCTTTTGAATTAATATTAAATATTAATTAAATAGTTTAATTAATCCTTTAATATTACTTTAATTTGAAATTAATTATTCAAATTAATGGTTGAATTAAAATGAAGAAAGTCAAAATGTTACTTCATTTAATGGAAAAATACACGTTAGTGGAATTTTGAGGTGTCAAAATTTGGTTAACTCAAATGTGCATGCTTGCCACATAATCCCAAATATTTGAATGGAATTTTGAGTGTCAAAATTTGGTGATCTCAAATTTGCATGAACATGCAAACATGACTCTTTAAATAGAGTGATCATGGTACATGGAAGGTCTTCTTGGAGAAAAATCTTGAGAAAAACTTCTCACAAACACTCTTTTCATATATACAAAATCCCCCCCAAGTTTAGTCACTCACGGGATTCCACAATCCCATTCTAAGGCCGGAGGATAGTGGAGAAGACACTAGTGGTGGTTCGAAACCGGTTCGTGAAGAAAAAGGAATTTGAACTACAAAAGGTTAGTATTCAAACTGATTAAGTTTTAATACTTATGAACATGCTAGTTATTTACTATAATTGATGTTCTAAAAGTGCTTAAGATCCTAATTGCTTCCGCATGTGTTATATTAACACCATCAATTGGTATCAGAGCATGTTTTAGGCACTTTATTTACATTAATTTGATCATGGTGGGTACCATTTTATGAATGAAATTTTGTAGTTGCTAAAGTGGATGGTTTTGGTTTTGACATTTTTTTTTATGCTTCCATTTGATACAATTATTGTAATAAGCCTAATGTGTACGAGCTTTAATGAATGAAGAAAGGTCTGTAATTTTTATGGAGTCATTAGAGTCCATTTTAGGTTGTAATTGATCGAAAATGGAAGAGATAGCAAGCTGAACCGAAGAAGATGGAAGAGGCGGTTCGGGTGTTTTTTCTGCCATTGGGGTTCGGTTCAACGTTTTTAAGGGTTGGTTCGCCCAGTTCGTTGACCCTCGAGAGCGGCTCAAGTTATTTTTAATTATTAATGTAAGAATTTAGTTAATTGCTTGCTTTAAAATGCCAAAACCAACCCACTTTAGTGTGTTTAATTAATTATGCATTATAAATGTA